CAGTTCCCCAGACAATAGGAATTTAGGTGCATAACAATTAACACCCAGATTTGAATGTGTCCGGCAAAGTGCCCAGCCAGCGCCATGGAGACGGCTGCGCCTTGGGAGAGTCACTGGTGTGGTTATGAAACCTTTGATTATTGCCCCGTGAGAGCGAGTTACGTCCTACATCACTGTGGCTGAGTCACACTGGGGGCAGGCTCACCCCAGGGTCACCCAGCACCTCTGGGCTGAGCTGCAGGGGAGCTGGACAGGCCAGTGCAGAGCAGCCAGCCCCTCCCCCAGCCAGGATGTGCACCGGCTCAGCATCGTTCCCACGGCTCCTTTCAGGGAGCAGGTGGGGACACAGCTGGCATCAGCCAACCCGCTGCTCTGTGAGCCTAGAGGGCTCCCTAAAGGCTGCGATCCCAGGGGCACTGGGCACATGGGCATGGGGCACTCGACCAGGCTGGGTGAGGCCCAAGCCAGCCTTGACAATGCCCTGGGTGCCCAACACCCATGTGAGTCCCAGGCCGGCACCCAAAGGACTATTAGCACCAGCCCAAGATCCTGAACTCTGCAGCCCTGGGAGCAGATTGTCAAAGAAGGAGCATCACCCACATCCCGCTGCAATGGCTCCCCTGGGTGTCTGAGTGCCCAGCACTTGGCACCCAAATCCCCCCATGGACGCCCTGTGCAGCCCCCTGTAAATCTCTCCTGTTCCCTCGATTTCTCCCCACTCCACTGTGTCCATCCCATGCCACCTGCAATAACATACTGCGGCTTTACAAAGTATCCTAGACAACCCCACTGTGGAACTGGCCTTATTAACTCTGAACTAAAACAAACCCTTTATGGTACGTAAATATCCTTACAAACCTGATACTGATCTAATATCCCCTGCTTCATGGTCAGAGGCCCAGTCTCTCTAACTGAACATCCGCCTCACGTTTTCTCTGTGCCTTTCCTATTCTTCTATCTCCAGAGGAAAGTGAAGAATAAGAGAGAGATGATTGCAGGTGAATTTAACAAACTGCACACACTGCTGAGAGAGGAGGAAAAGCTGCTTCTGCAGAGCCTGGAGGAGGAGGAGAGGGCGACTCTGCAGAGACTACAGGAAAATGTCACCAAACTCTCCCAGCAAAGCTCCTCTCTGCAGCAGCTGATCACAGAGATAGAGGAGAAGTGTCAGCAACCAGTTGTCGAGCTGCTAAAGGTGAGACGGCATCAAAATTCTCCACCCATCCAGAATTATATCTCAGATCCCTGGGTCTGGATCCCAACAATGAGAGTAAATGTGTTCTGTGGTTACAGACAAACAGAACATCCGGCTAAGGGCTCCATCAGTTCCAAAATATCGCAGTTCACGTCCGAGGGGAATTCTCCTCCTGGAGACCCAGTGAGGCCGTGGGAGATTAAATGGATGATACAAAAATGATACTGAGCTAAACCCATCCCTGCTCTGACTCCAGAACATTGGACCCAACACAGTCGATAAACACAGATACTGATGGGCTGGGTCCCTAGAGGGGACAACCCTTTAGCTAAATTCCTGTCTCACCTACATAAATGAAACGAGTGTTAATGCAAAACGGTGGATGAGATTTTACCACAAAACAGTGAAGCCTGGGAGGGTTGATCTATTTTCTAGATAAAAGTTTGATGCCCAGAGTGAGACTCACTCAGTTTTATGCACATTGTGTTAATACAGAACATTGATTCTCTTTTTCCTTTCAGGATGTGAAAAGCACATTGAGCAGGTGTGTTTCCCATTTTCATTGCTCTTCTATTCGTGGTGGTGGTTCTGGGATGATGTGTGTACAGAGCAGCTGAGTGATGATGGGACGTTTTCTTAATAGGAGTGAGAATGTGAAACTCCAGGAACCAGAAGCTGTTTCTACTGACCTGAAGAACGTGTATAAAATTACCCTTGACATGAGGGAAGCACTGAAGACATTCGCAGGTGAGTGGAGTCTACTGGGACATTCAGCTGTATTGTGCCTGGGGATCTGGACAGAGCCTGGGACCCCAGGACTCGCATGTATGCAGCTGACATGCATGGAGCTGTGTTATAGCTGGAGGCTGGGCAGTTTGCCTGCTACTTACAGCCACCTGCTGGTACTTGCCCAGGTGTCTGACCAGGCCCCATCACTCTGACATCCTGACCCCTCCATGGCTGAGTTAATGGGTGTCACTGAGCCAGGTGCCGTGAGGCCTGGACTGGGCCCATTGTGCTGGGTGCTGCACAGACTGGTAAAGGATGAGGTGTCTGTGCCTCTCTCCTGGGACATGTGAGGGCTGCATGGTGTGGCCACCGCTCAGCACTGCCCCAGCCCCCATTAGCCAAGGCTGGCTGAGCTTTCTGAGCTGGAGGAGGGGCTGTTCTGGCTGCTGTGGTCTGACTTGGGCCGTGTGTTACTGGGTAACAAGCTGAATCCTACGGACCCCTCATCTGGTCTGAGCACAGCCCAGTGTGAGGTTGGGTCAGTGGTTTGCTGCTCGTTTAGTGAGACTTACTCATGAGAGTGTGACCCTGTCACAATGTCTGAGCATTGTTACCAGCTGTGCCTGTTACTTTGGGGTATGCTCATTTATTAGGGTTACTCTTCTGGGGGCAAGGGGTTCTGTACTTCTATCAATGTGCTGCTTGTGTTCTCATATGGAGCTCTACTTCTCCCTTCTTCCCTCCCAATGGAGCTATCTTGCATGACCTACGTTCCCCAGGGTTCGGTTCCTCCAGCCTCAGAATCAGATGCACACACACACACACACACACACACACACGTCTGCACTCCCAAGCTGACCCCTTATATGTCCCTGGCCTCAGCAGACTGGGTCGAGCAGCACCTCCAAGCTGCTGCCCTCATATGTCCCAGCTTCAGCACTATCCCCACTTTCACATTTACAATTGTTCTGGTAGTAACCCACTTGATGAGCAAACTCCACCGGATTTTTAGGTGCTGCGGGGATCTTTTAGCTTAGGTACAAGGAGCGTTGCTGCAGAGCGAATAAGGAAGCCAAAAAACACCCACGAGAGAGAGAGAGAGAAGCTTGAATCGATGGGGGGGTCCCAGGTGCTGGTGGTAGCTGGGGGTCTGGAGTGCTGGAGACAGGCAGAGCCCCCAACACGATCAGTCAGGAGAAGATGAAGTCCCAGTGGAACTGATGCAGATTTTGGATCCAGGCATCAGAGCACTTACTTGAGCATGGATAGGGAAGGGTTTTCATAGGGAAACAACAATGGTTCCAGGGAGAACATTAGATTTGTTTGTGTAAACTGATGGCTCAAGGGAGTATACCAAATTGGTTTTGTTCAGGCTAGACAATGGGAGCTGATCATTCCTTACTATGGGCGGTGTTCCTTGGAGGGAGCTCACAATGTAATTAGGGAGCTTCACTATTTTGGATACCAATAAAGGATTAATTACTAGAATTGGTCTGATAATCACTGAGCTGGGTGTGTGCAGGTGTGGGTTTATTAACATCTGGAGCAGAGACCCCCCCATCATGCATTGGTTCCCTGCTTTTCTGGTCCCAGAGTTCTGTGCGGTTCTTGCCTTGGAATCTCTGTTCTCCAGTCTGTATGCTAATGGAGATGTCTCCTTGTCCCATCTTCAATGCAAATGAGGCTAGGGGAGTTGCCTTAATGCTGTCGTCCTTATCCCAGGGGTTTAGGTGTGCCTCCCACTGGCTTTTCATTGCTTTTTGTAGTTCTTTCTTCTGATCGGTTTTGTTTCAAGCAGAGTCTGGGCGGGGGGGAGGGGAAGGTCTTTTGTGAGTCAGACAGGCTGGGTACTCTATCTGGTTCCCCAAGAACACAGAGCTGCTAGGTAACAATTGGAAAACCAAAATCTATCATAATCCGGCTTTTCCATGTTTCTGATTTTCACCAAAATCAACAGGGTTCTGCACGGGACTGGGATCAGGGGCAGGGGGAGGAGTTTGGAAGGACTAGGGATGATTGACCTGGCTAGGGCAATGGCTGGAGGGGGATGAGGGGCACCCTGTCCCTAAACCCTAATCCTAACCCTGAGGTCACCGCCTCACCCTGTAGCCTGAGATTTTAGTGGAAATGAGGCTTTTACAAGTTTCCATTTTTCACCAAAATCCGGAAGGTTCTGCCCACTGATGCTTAAAACATGCCCTGAAACGGAGCTGATGGGACCTGGTTTTCAAAAGTTATCACATTGCAGACAGACAGACAGACAGATAGAAATGACATTGAGTTGGGTGTGGGGCCTCACTTCCCTCAGCCAATAATAATCATTGATTTTCATAAAAACTTTAACCTCAAAGTAGTGGTTTTATTTGGGGATAATTATCTAAACAGGTAGTGTATGTTCACTAGGGCCCCAATTCAGCAGGGTAGTTAAGCACATGCTGCACTTTAAGCCTATGAGTCAATCCATCCCTGTTCAGCGTGTGCTTAAGGGTTTCACTGGATCAGGCTCTAAAACAGAAGCAGTAGCTGCTTCACAAGGAGCAAGAAACCCCCTAGTGGCTGATGACAGACTAACCTGCCCCCAGGGAAAGTTTCCTCCTGACCCCCATCAGTTAGCAATTGGCTTGTGCCCTGAAGCAGGAGGGGGTTTCTCTGCCCTCCTGAACGCTTGTGTTTTTTGAGAACTGTGATAAGTCTGGAGATGCACATTCACATATCACTGTCTTGGGCTTTTTGAATCCTTTGTCCATTTGGGGTTTATTCTTTGCTTGTCTGTTTTGTTTTAGTCCTACCCAGTCTAAATCTGTATGTTCTCATTATCAATCTAAATGTCCTTTTGTATTACTCCTGCTAAACTCCTGGCCTCAATGCTATCTTGTGGCAAGTTGTTCCACAGGCTAATTATGCATTCTATACAACTGTATTTCATAGAATGATACAATCATAGGACTGGAAGGGACCTTGAGAGGTCATTTCCTCTTACAGTTTGAAATTTGCCGCTTTTCAGTTTATTTGAGTATCCTCTTGTTCTTGTATTCGGAGAGAAGGTAGGTCTCAGCACCCAATTTCTCTCTCTCACTGACTGCTTTGTATTTCTCTGTCATGTCTCCTATCGAAATTAAAATGTGCCACCTTTTAAAATCACTCCTTATACGGACGTGCCTTCAGGGCTCTAATCATTATTGCTGTCGATCTCTGTAATGCACTTTCTGAGATGGGGTGACCAGTGCTGCGCACAATGCCCAGGTGAGGGACTAGATAAGTACATTTTTCTATCCTGTTCTTTCTGCATCTGAACTCTTCATTCTTTAACCCATTGCTGCACATTGAGCAGAGATCTTCACGGAGCTGTGTACAGTGATGCCTGGGTCTCTTTCCTGAGTAGTTACAGTTACAATTTAGAACCGTATTAACTGTCTGAATAGCTGTAATTATTCCTTGCAATGTGCCTGACCTTACTTTGATCAATACTGAATTTCATCAGCCCTCATGTTGCCCAAGCTTGGTCCCTCTGAAATAACTCAAAATTTCTCTGGCCTTGTCTAACCTAAATAGTTCTATGACATCTACAAATTTCACCACCTCTCGGCTTATCTCTTTTTCCAAGTCACTGATAACTATACTGAACACCAATCCTAATCAAAAACCCAACTTTGAGGCATCCCACTGACCATAGGAACATAAGAACATAAGAATGGCCGTACTGGGTCAGACCAAAGGTCCATCCAATCCAGTATCCTGTCTACCGACACTGGCCAATGCCAGGTGCCCCAGAGTGAAAGAACCTAACAGGGTAATGATCAAGTGATCTCTCTTCTGCCCTCCATCACCTCCCTCTGACAAACAGAGGCTAGGGACACCATTCCTTACCCAACCTGGCTAATAGCCATTAATGGACTTAACCTCCATGAAGTTATCCAGTTCTGTTTTAAACCCTGTTATAGTCCTAGCCTTCACAACCTCCTCAG